GCTCTGTTCCTGACACCTTCTCCCGGTGACTGCAGGGCTCTCACCAGATCCCCCCTGCTCTGCCCTGTGCCTGAACAGCACAACCCTCCCACCTCCCTCTCCCACCCCACAATCTCCACCACCCTCCTCCCCTGCACATCTCATTTCTCCCCACTGAATCCTTCCCACTGCAGGGAGCTGCTGAGGAGCCGCATGGTCCATCCCTGGATTCTCCAAGCACTCACTGCCCATCCACTCTGACCACAGCCAGGGGCCACATCCCACTGCCTGCTCAGTGTCCATCCATGGAGGTGACCACTGTGTCCCCATCTCCTGCGTCACCCACTGAAGGAGATGATCTGTGTGTGACAGATGTCACCAGCGTGGCCATACACAGTGTGACACTGCTCATCTGCCTCTGTGGGCTGGCTGGGAATGGGGCTGTCATCGGCCTCCTCAACCCGAAATTCCCCAACTATGGCTTCTATGTCCTGGCTGTCATTGACTTCATCTTCCTTCTCCTCACAGCCCCCTCCACCCTCCTGCTCCTGGTGGAGGACGTGTCCTGCTCTTCTATCCTGCCCATGCTGTACCTGAGTTTCCTTCTCCAGCTGTCGGTGGTCTCCTACTACTGGGGGCTGTTCTGGCTGATAGCCGGCAGCAATGTGCAGTATGTGTACAAGCTCTGCTGCCGTGGTGACCTTCCTGAGCGCCTGAGGTGGGTGTTAGAAAGTGTCCAATACTGGGCCTTCTTTTGTCTCTTCACTGTCATTCCTGCAGTGACATTCCTGTGCCCATCCAACCAGAAGGAGCTCTGCCGGGCTGCTTTCATCTCCATGAACACCATCATCTTGCTCCTTTTTGTTGCCCCCATGCTCATTTCCAGCACAGTCGAATTCATTAAGTCCAAGTGGGGCTCCCAGCAGCAGCAACCCAAGAAGCCTGACATTGTTATCTTTCTCATTGTGCTCTTCAATCTCCTTCTCAGCCTCTGGAATTTCTTGCAGCAGCTCGGTTACATCACTGTGTCCTCACAGGTTGTTTTCCTTCTCACCTGCATCAACAGTAGCATAAAACCCATCACCTACTTCTTATTGGGGAGGTGCTGGAGACCCTGCTCCATGGAGTCCCTCCAGCTCTTCCCTCCAGAGGGTGTTTGAAGATCCGAAGATAAAACTGACTGCAGAAATTACACCATCAGGGACACGGTGGTCTGAGTCTGCTGATTCCTCACACTGCTCTGCTGAGTGAGCCCAGGACAGTGACTGACAGATTCCTTGGGTCACCTCATTAATCAATATCCACGGGATCACCCTCCCCATGGTGCTGTATTCATGCAGGAGAAGGGAGCAGGAGCATTGCCTTGGGTGATTTTTGTGGGATGCTCTGCAGGGAGCACATTGGAGCATGGCTTTCCTGCTCCCTCCTGGATCCACATGGCTCCNCTCCAGGGCTCTCACACAGAGGCAGCTGCCTCAGAGCCTGCCACGGGCTCAGGGCTCTGCCCCTCAGCTGCTCTTCACTGTGCCCGGGAAATGAGCAACGGGAGAGAGCCTCAGCAACCACACCTGTGCCCAAAGCTCTTGGGCTCCATCTCAGCTGCATCTTTCATTTTTAAAAAAACCCAATTCCAAAATCTTGTCTTTTGAACAGCCTTGACTTGCCCCCGCTCATTCATGAGGTGGATCTTTAGGACCCTGCACTAGAGATGTACTTTTATCTTTCCTCTCTGATTCAAATCTAGTTTTCCCATATGTGTACCACCATTTCTCCTGTACTTCGCCTTCACCTCACAGATTGCCAGAAGACCCATGTAATATTAAATTCTCTGTGTGAGCTGGAGCACTGGCACAGAGCAGAGGGATGATTTGGGATTTCAGCAATGGCATTTCTTCATAGAAGAGGCAAATCAATGCTGCTCTCTTGGCTTTAATCTTTAGAAAGTTGCAGGTTTCATCTGAGACATCCTCTACACTCCCTTTGCAGTCAGAGAGAAGCCTACAGTGAATTCCAAGGAATTCCTAGAAAGGTGATGTGAGATGATTCCCATCCAGGCTGTCATGTGCCTCAGGGATCTGGGATCCTCCTCCTGCAAACTGCTGGCCCTGGGACCAGAACTGTCATCTCTCTTCCTGCTGACACCGTGTTTGTGTCCCCAGCTATGGAATCTCACATTCCTTCAGCAGCCCAATCCTTTCAAGGGCAAACACTTCATGATCCAGCAGCTGATGGGGCTCAAGGATGGGTGGAGAGGCATTTTGGACAAGGGCATGGAGTGACAGGATAACAGGGAATGGCTTTCCACTTACAGAGGGTGGGATCAGATTGGATATTGGGAAGAAATCCTTCCCTGTGAGGGTGCTGAGGCCCAGGCATAGGTTACCCTGAGATGCTGTATCTGCCGTGGGATCCCTGGAAGTGTCCAAGGTCAGGCTGGAGGGGTTTGGAGCAATCTGGTACAGTGGCAGTTATCTCTGCTTGCAAAGGGACAGTCTGGGATCAGGTGTCACAAACGACACCAAGCGTTCCCAGGACTGAAGTGGAGCAGGAGCAGCTCTGGTGAAGGGCTGGCAGGGAGTTCACAGCACCCTGGTCCCTGATAGCTTTCACTGCATCATCAAGGGGATTGGCAATAATTAGGGTGGGCTCCAAGTGCTGATAGCCTGGCTGCAAGCACCTGAGTGCTGTCCTTCCCTTGTGCTGTGTGAGCCTCATTGGAATGAGAGAAATGGGAATTCTTGTCTCAGCTGTGCTCCTTTTGGCATTATTTTATGCAATGATGCCAGAACTCTTTGCAGAATGAGATTTGTTTCTGAGAAGCACCCAGAAGCTTCACCAGCACTGCAGGTACTGCCAGCACTCCAGTGACACCAGCATCACCAGCATCTCTCTGCTGCTAGAGGGACACTAAGCCCTCAGGGAACGGAAATCAGGAATGGCAGAAACTTGTTGAAGGAGGGAAGGCAGTTGGAGAAAGGGACATTCTGCAGGGATAGAGTGTTTCTAACCAGAGGGAAATGAGGAGGCATTAGCAAAATTCTTCTCGTTGACCTTGTGACAAAAGCCAATTTCTTTCTGGCAAAGAAAAAAA